CTCGATGGTCCTGCCATGTTCTGGCAGTCTCGATGGTCCTGCCATGTTCTGGCAGTCTGGGTTGTCCTGCCATGTTCTGGCAGTCTCGATGGTCCTGCCATGTTCTGGCAGTCTCGATGGTCCTGCCATGTTCTGGCAGTCTGGGTTGTCCTGCCATGTTCTGGCAGTCTCGATGGTCCTGCCATGTTCTGGCAATCTGGGTTTTCCTGCCATGTTCTCGGAGACATTTAATAATTCATGGACGATGTCAATAATTTCAAGTCATAACTTTTATGGTATTCTCTATAATACATTGTGTCAATTTTGAAGAGGCTTGGTAAGGCTTGTTTACCTGTCGCATTAAGAAGCCAGTGATAAGAATTGCATGAAGCCATTGGCTGGAGTACGTACTAAAAGTGTGTAATATTGAATAGAGAATGAGAATGTACCTGAGCAGGCAACGAGTTCATATCAAACGATTGAAACTGGTCATTTTTTGTCAGTGTGGATAAATTACGTTTATATCTAAATTTGCGCGGTTCCGGACAGGCTGCCCTGCCATGATGCTATGTTAGGTCCAATCTTATTGTCATTATTATACATGTTAGCTGTAGAAGATAACATACTGAAACATGTTCTGAACACATACTTTTTGCAGATGACACTCGTTTGTATTAGATGCAAGAGCAACCAGTCTGCAACAATCACTCCTATGGAGGTTTGTCTTGGGGAGTTTTTCGAGAATGGATGAAAGTGAACATGTTGGCTTTGAATGATGCTAATACTGAGTTGATATGGTTTGTATCAAGGTTCAAGGCAAATAGGAAAAATGCAGCAAATGCCAACATTGCATAGGAGATGTTCTTATGTTCTTGCAGAGTTTTATAAAACCATCTAGTTCTGTAAAAGATCTGGGAGTTACCCTCAATGAAAATGGCACTGTGGGGAAGCATGTATCTGAAGTGTGAAAATCGGCATCTTATGCACTATGGCGCATTGGAAAAGTAAGGAAAGTGTTAAATGACAAATCCACTGAAAAATTAGAAAATGCATTTAAATCATCAAGATAAGATTACTGCAATGGTCTACTCTTTGGTATATGTGACTATCAGATTAAAATAATTACAAGTTATTCAAAACTCAGCTGCAAGACTGGTTTTTTCAAATAAAGTGCAATAGTACACACCCTATCACTCCCATTGTGAAAGATTACACTGGCTGCCAGTGAAATAGAGGATTGATTATACAGATCTGGTATTATTTTAAGGTGATCCATACACAAAGTCCAATCCATTTTTCCAAACCTCTGTTTAAACTCACCAAGGCTCTCCACAAGTTTTCATTCTGAGAATGACCTTATTTTAGAAGATTGTTTTAGAGAAGTGGTCTCTCAAAAGTTATGGTGAAGTTGATGCTGGCAGTCTCAGTTGTCCTTCAATGTTCTGGCAGTCTGGGTTGACCTGCCATGATGCTGGCAGTCTCAGTTGTCCTGCCATGATGCTGGAAGTGTTGACTGTCCTGCTGTGAAGCTGGCAGTCTTGGTTGTCCTTCCTTGTTCTGGAAGTCTCAGTTGTCCTGCCATGATGCTGGCAGTCTTGCTTGGCTTGCCATGTTCTGGCAGTTTTCAGTGGTCCTGCCTTGATGCTGTGTTAGGTCCAATCCTGTTTTCATTATACATGTTACCTGTAGAAGATATACTTAAACATGGTCTGAACACTGTCATTTTTGCAGATGATACAAGTCTATATTACATGTAAGAGCAACCAGTCTGCAACAATCACTTCTATGGAAGCTTGTCTTGCAGAAATTCGAGAATGGATGAAAGTGAACATGTTGGCTTTAAATGATACTAAAGCCAAGTTGATATGGTTTACATCAAGGTTCAAAGCAAATAGGAAAAATGCACAAATGCCAACATTGCATAGGAGATGTTCTTATAAAACCATCTAATTCTGTAAAAGATCTGGGAGTTACCCTCAATGAAAATGGCACTGTGGGGAAGCATGTATCTGAAGTGTGAAAATCAGCATCTTATAGGCACTATGGCGCATTGGAAATGTAAGGAAAGTGCTAAATAACAGAACCACTGAAAAATTAGTAAATCATCAAGGTAAGATTACTGCAAGTATCCTCTTTAGTACATGTGACTATAGTAGTTATTCAAAACTCAGCTGCAAGACTAGTTTGTCAAATAAAGTGCAATAGTGCACACCATATCACTCCCATTCTGAAAGGATTACACTGGCTGCCAGTGAATCCATGAAGCTAGCATTCTCGGTTATCCCGCCATGTTCTGCAAGTTTCAGTTGTCCTGCCATGATGCTGTCAGTCTCACTTGTCTTGCCATGTTTTGGCAGTCTAGGTTGTCCTGCCATGATGCTTGCAGTCTCGGTTGTCCTGCCATGATGCTTGCAGTCTTGGTTATCCTGCGATGCTCAAATTAGAAAACCAGCTCTATAGGATTATCTTTTTTCCATTAAATGTATAGTATTTTTAAAATATTTTAATTTTTCTTATTCTGGCATTTTCAAAGTGTTGACTTGAACTCTCATGGGCCTGAACTTTTTGCTTGTTTCACATTTTATTAAAATCAGTTTTATCTGTTGTGCATTTTTCAGGGAGTGGTCACAAGGCAGCAAGAGAACTGGTATAGACCTGTCATTCAGGATTAATTAGTGATTCATGTCATCCAGTGATTCATGTGTAGATGTCTTACACCTGTAGCAGAGTACCCCAGTGCATCTACCACCGCCCTTGGCGCTGCAGACAGCAAACTGATGAATTCACCCCTCCCCCAAGCAGCCACCTTTGCCCCTGTTCTCATTTGGACTCCATATGTTGTGATCTAGCCAATGTGATCCCAGTCTACCTGACAGCAGCTCCAGCCAGCTAGCCAGCAAACAAAGCCACGTGTTATCCTTTCCACCTTACTTATCTGCAGGCAATTCATCAATAGAGAGTGCAGTGAAAAAATTACAAATGGTTTAAAATTAACGTTTAATACATAGTATGCATTTTCAACGGAGAACAAAATTATTAAAGGCATTTCTTTATCTGCATCATACATGGTACCAGACAGAACCAGAAACGATATACCTCAATTCCTGTTTATATTCCTTCAATGAAATTTGAAATTGAGATTATGTATTTGTAAAAACACATCAACTTATTAGCACTTGGTACGGTAGTTTTCATGCAGCCTGCTTTTGGATTGAAGTAAAATTTTTTCTCATGTACTCTTAAATATGAATCTGTACTTAAGTGTGAAGCCGTGTACCTGAAGCTGAGTGATTTTGATGGCCACAGTGTACAGCTCTTCATATCTTTTGTGATCTTATGTGGGCAGTTCGCCTCTATGACATGAACAATGAACAGTTCACTTAATGATGTGATACTCATATAGACCAATATATTTCTTGATCATAAAGTTTGTTTATTGTTTATATTGCATAATTCAGTCTTTTACAAAACCTTTCCTTTTTTTTTACTTGCAGTAATGAATAAACTTAGAATAGTTATCATTGAAAGGAACATGTTGATGGTTGTTTTCTTTGTCATTTCCTGGGTAAAGTAAGAAAAGGCAATGTGCACTATTTAACATACATTGGTACTGTAGTGAATATGTAGGTGGCATCTTATTCAAATTGATTGATTTTTATACCATTTAGGTGCAGTCTTCTGTTGAGCATTTTTGTAATTTGAGTGTTTAGAAACACTGTTCTGTTGAATTTTAGTATATTTCTCTTGAACAACCTCGAAACAGTGAAGGGAAACATGGAAGGAAGCAGTTGTTGGAAGTATTTTTCTTTTGTATTAAATAAAATGCAGTTTTAGTACAGCCTGGGAGACACTGGCTCATATTGTTGTGTGTGTGTGGAAAGATATTTAAAAGATAAAATATAACCCTTTTTTTGCCACAAATATGCATGTATATTTGCATAGCTTTAATCCCTGTTGGTTTTCACAATATTATTTTCTGTTGACAAAATAATGTCTCATATGTTATAAAAGTTGCTCATATGTAAAAATTTAGTAAAATAGAGTCATTTGATAAAAAAGTACTCATTTGTTTTTATGTATAGACACAGATGTGTCTGTACATATCCGTCACCTGTGTTTGTTGCCAATAACACGGTAAGTGAATAACCGTTTTACCTTTTGGCTTGAAACTTACAGAACTGACGAATATTTATAATATGCAGATCAAGTTCGAAAATCGGCATGATCGGGCAATTTTTATGGAAGTTATGCTTTTTTTTTTCACTTTTTCCGCATATATGCAACACCAATAACACGATAAGTGGAAAATCCTTTTACCTTTTGGCTTGAAACTTACAGAACTGATAAATATTCATAATATGCAGGTCAAGTTTGAAAATCAGCTTGATTGGACCATTTTCACAAAAGTTATAGTTTTTATGTACAGACACAGATGTGTCTGTACATATAGCCATCACCTGCATCTGTTGTCCTCGTTGCCGTGCACTTTTACCGATAACACGATAAGTGGAAATTATTTTTTTATTTTGGTTTGAAAATTACAGAATTGATAAATATTCATAATACGCAGGTCAAGTTCGAAAATCAGCATGATCGGGTCATTTTTAGGGAAGTTATGCTGTTTTTTCACTGTTTTCAGCATATATGCAGCACCGATAACACGATAAGTGTAAAACCATTTTACTTTTTGGCTTGAAACTTAGAGAACTGATGAATATTCATAATACGTATGTCAAGTTCGAAAGTCAGCGTGATCAGGCCATTTTTATGGAAGTTATGCTCTTTTTTCATTTTTTTCAGCATATATGCAATACCGATAACACATTTCAAGGAAAATCAATTGGCCAATTGTCTCGAAATTTACAGGGGTGATCAGTCTTACTGAAATGCAGATGAAGTTCGAAAATAAGCTCGATCGGTTCAGTTTTGGTGAAGTTATGCCTTTTTTGTATATAAGTGTTTTTTTCCTCATATTTAATTCTTAGGCATGTTAACAATCTCATCTGTGAACTAATTAAATATGTAAAGGTGTTCTTTTGACATTTTCTGCATCTTAACAATGTTGTTAGTTGAATATATAAAAAAGATGGTAAACCTGTTTTTGTGTATTGTGTAATAAAGTGTCAAAAAATNTTGTTTTACTTGCAGTAATGAATAAACTTAAAATAGTTATCATTGAAAGGAACATGTTGATGGTTGTTTTCTTTGTCATTTCCTGGGTAAAGTAAGAAAAGGCAATGTGCACTATTTAACACACATTGGTACTGTAGTAAATATGTAGGTGGCATCTTATTCAAATTGATTTTTATACCATTTAGGTGCAGTCTTCTGTTGAGCATTTTTGTAATTTGAGTGTTTAGAAACACTGTTCTGTTGAATTTTAGTTTATTTCTCTTGAACAACCTCGAAACAGTGAAGGGAAACATGGAAGGAAGCAGTTGTTGGAAGTATTTTTCTTTTGTATTAAATAAAATGCAGTTTTAGTACAGCCTGGGAGACACTGGCTCATATGAGGGTTATTTAGGAAAATATTTGATTTAGCCTCGTTTTTAAAAAGGGAATGGAAGCTCTAAGATAAAATTTTGGGAGAAGAAGGCATTGAGACAGGTACATGTAAGATGCACATGTGTTTATACAATGACCAGTTGATTTAAATACAAATAAATTTGACAAGAAAATAGAGCATATGCTTCAGTTACATTTTATACACCAAGGGAATGTTCATGTATCAATTTCACGGAGTATTTTCTGAAGTTCCATGTGTCTTCCAGGTTGACTGTCATATATGCTCTCTTTCTCTCTCATCACACACAAACTCCCACACATTCACACACACCTACATACACATGGTTTATTAGTTCATGAAAGAAAATTGTTTCATGAAATAAAAACCTTATATTTGTAAAACTCCTCTGATTTAATTTATAAATATTGTGTATTTTGTGAAACAAAATGTACCAGTACAACAATTAGCATATGATAGTTGTGAACACTGTAGTTTGTAGATGTACTCCAGTATGTATTTACTAAAATCAGGGCTTGATTTCTATGGGATTTTAATTGATTTAAAGATGTGCATGTTTGCCACAGTTTAGCTCCTGATGATAAGCTTTATTTATCTATACTGACACAATTTTTAGATAATTCGATTGTTACCAGCTTCGAATTCCCTATTACCAAGATTGTGATATATTATTTATATTGATTTTAGTGTGCGTGTTGTTGTGTGTGTGTGGAAAGATATTTGCAGTTTAAAAAGTGTTTAATGTTACTTTTTAAAACTTTTTAATTTAATATTTTTCTAGGCTTGAAAAACATGAATGGGACCAGGATTAATCATTTTGCTATTCCTTGGACTGCAATTATTATGACAGAAGCACCTACACGTGTCATTTCCAAATGCTGTGTGGCATTGAGCACCATCACAACCTCTGACTTTCTTTTAAGGGATGAAAAATATTTTTGTGCTGTGCTAGCTGATGCTAATAATAATAATAATAATAATTATTGATCATCAGTATAACTAAGTTTGTCATATTATTTTATCGGTAGGATTGAACCATGCACCAAAAGTAAGGTATGTTAATTTCAATGTGCAAGCTTTTGCATACATGAATTGGCTTGCTGACAAAAATTATTCATATATTAACAAAAATTGATTTAAATGGAAATGTGGATTGGTACAGGAATAACATGGTATTGGCAAAAAAAAAAAACTGCTGACCTTGGGTAAATTTATAAAATATTATTTGTTAAAATTGGTCCTGTTTTTAAAAGTGGGTAGTGTGTTTGTTGGCTAACTGTACAGTGTATATGTACTGATCTAGAAGTGAAAAATAAATCACCATATTGATGTTCCAAAAATAAAAAATAACCCTTTTTATGCCACAAATATGCATGTATATTTGCATAGCTTTAATCCCTGTTGGTTTTCACAATATTATTTTCTGTTGACAATATAATGTCTCATATGTTATAAAAGTTGCTCATATGTAAAAATTTAGTAAAATGGAGTCATTTGATAAAAAAGTACTCATTTGTTTTTATGTATAGACACAGATGTGTCTGTACATATCTGTCACCTGTGTCTGTCGCCGATAACACGGTAAGTGAATAACCGTTTTACCTTTTGGCTTGAAACTTACAGAACTGATGAATATTTATAATATGCAGATCAAGTTAGAAAATCAACATGATCGGGCCATTTTTATGGAAGTTATGCAGTTTTTTTTTCACTTTTTTTCTGCATATATGCAACACTGATAACACATTTTAAGTAAAACTCAGCCTTTTGTCTTGCAACTCACAGGAGTGATCATTCTGATTAGTATATGCAGATCAAGTTTGAAAATAAACTTGATAGTAAAGTTTGTCTTTTTTAGTACTATAAATGTTTTTTCTTCAGATTTAATTCTTAAGCAGTTAACAGTCTCATTATAGAACTAATAAGATATGTAAAAGTGTTGTTTTGATATTTTCTGCTTCTTGACAATATTGTTAGTTGATTATATAAAAATGACAGTAAACCTGTTATTGTGTAATAAAATATCAAAAATGGAATTGAACTTGTATCATTGCAGTTTGTCGGATTCAATCATTCACTAAGTTTAGTATCTCAGAATGGAGAAAGTTGGACATTTAAAATTGTTCAATTGATTATTTTATCTAAAAAGAGGTGTTGAAAATGGAAATTCTTTTTAATACAGTTATCTCTTGTTTACATTTTGGAATTTTCAAGGTGTGACCCTGAACTCTATCGGCTAGTCACATTTTCTGTATATGCATGATACTTTTATACTTTTATTTTATTATTAAAAAAATAATGGTTATTATGCTGTTAAGCATTGTAATATTGCATCAAAATTGAACAAAACCCTATTTTGGGCACAGCCTCCGTAGTGACCTTGAAAAGAAAACCATATCACTTACTCTTCTTACACTTAAAAACATAGCACTGAAATACAGCTTCAGTTGGAAAATCTGTCTCAGATAATTTTCTGGAAGTTATACATTTTTTTTTTTTTTTTTTTTTTTTTTTTGTGAAAATTTTTACCTTTTACATATTGGAATTTTCAATGTGAGACTTGGAGCTCCCTTGGGCATGAAGCCCAGTGGTAATCAAAATTTCTTAATGACCATGTTTTTAATAGAAGATAATTAAAAATTGGTGGTATTTATACAGTTAATCTTTATGTAATGTTGCATCGAAATTGACAA